AAAAATGCATTCCAAGAACAACTCCATGTTTTGAAGAAACTGAGGTCACCAGACTCTTGTCTTGCTGGACAGTGGTGGCACACATCTTTAGACCCAGTGCTTGGGAGACAGAGGCAGGTGGATCTCTGTGAGTTCCAGGACAGCTAGGGCTGTTATACAGAGACGCCCTATCTCAAAACCAAACCAAAATAAAACAAAACAAAACAACAGACTCTTACCTTCTTGGAGCATTCCCACAAGCACTCAGAATTCTCAATTCATTCCTGGACTGTTTTCCGACATTGGACAAACAAAAAGCTTGGTAGTTAAGAATATTTGTTGAATCCGGCAGTGGTGGCCCACACTTTTAACCCAGCACTTGGGAGGCCAGTGGATCTCCATGAGTTTGAGGCCAGCCTACTCTACAGACTGAGTTCCAGGACAGACTCCAAAACTACACAAAGAAACCCTGTCTCAAAAAATCAAAAAAGGGGGCTGGAGAAGATAGCTCAGCAGTTAAGAGTACTGGCACTCTTCCAGAGAACCCAGGTTCAATTCCCAGCACCCCACATGGCAGCTGTAATTGTCTGTAAGTCCAGGATCTAACACCCTCACACACAGAGATACACATACAGGCAAGGACGCTAATAAAATAACACAAAGAGTATTTGTTGCTCTTACAGAGGACCTGAATTCAGTTCCCAGCACCCACATGGTGGTTCACAAACATCTGTAACTCCAGTTCCAGGGGGTCTGACACTTCTTTTAAACCCCTGGGGAACCAGGTATGCATGCAATGCATACATACATTCAGGGAAAATGATCATACCCATAATAAATAAATTTTAAAAAAGAATTGGTAGCCGGTGGTGGAGCACACCTTCAATCCCAGCACTTGGGAAGCAGAGGCCAGCCAGGTTTATAAAGCAAGTTCCAGGACAGGCAGGACTGTTATAACCCTGTCTTGAAAAACAAAATTAAAAAAAAAAAATGGTGAAAAGAAATAGATTTCCTAACAACTACGGCCAGGCCAGGACTACTTAGGAAAGGGCAGGTCTTAGATTCTCTCAGCTGTCCTAGCAAAGCTACAAATTTTTGTTTGTTTTTCAAGACAGGCTTTCTCTGTGTAGCTTTGTAGACCAGGCTGGCCTCGAACTCACGGAGATCCGCCTGCCTCTGCCTCTCGAGTGCTGGGATTAAAGGCGTGCATCACCACCGCCCGTCTCAGAGCTACAATTTTACAGAGACCATGAAGCAAGACTCGGGCAGCACACTTATACAGGCTAGCCACGGGACAGGCTGTGGAATCTGCCAGGGAGATGAGTTCCTGCTCCTCTGGGGTCAATGTTCATTCGGCATGGGGCTCCTGGATCTGGTTTCTCTCTAGGTCTGTACCATGCTGCCACAAGTGAAGATTAGCAAGAGCCACCTCTGGGTTAATTAAGGGTGGGGGAAGAAGACATGATGTAATGTGGGCAGGACTATCCCTCAGGCTGGAGGATGGATGAAAGGGATGAGGACGGAGTATGGTGGCACGCCTTCAGTCTCAGCACTCAGGAGGTACAGGTGGGTGATGGATCGTGAGGAATACCACCTGAGATGAATAGGACTTGACTGCAGCGGGTCCCGAGGTGGGTGAGGGGCAGACGTCGGAGACAGGCAAATGCGACTTATATGGGAAGTTTATTGATGGAAAGGAAGGGAATAAGGAGAGAGAAAGAGGGAGAGACAGAGGGACAGAGGCAGAGCTGCCTCCTCAGAGGAAAGAGAAGAGAGAATGGGAGATTGCAGTTTTCCTCTTAAAGGGCCTGCCATGCACAGAGGGGTTGTCAGGCTGTGCAGGTTCCCAAGGGGCGGGCCAGGTTTGCCTGGATTACAACAGTGATCTCTGTGAGTTCAAGGCCAGTCACTGCTACAGGGAGAAACCCTCCCCCCTCTCCCTCAACTTGAAGAAGTGTGTGGAGGTGAGGAAGGTACATCTCTCCGTGTGTTCCTGGTTGTCGTGATTCCAGCTTCTTTACTCCACAACACCCTCACCACAATGGACTGAAACCCCAGAAACTGTGGACTAAAATAAATGCTCACACACATATAAAAAAAGAGTGGGAATCGGCTAGAGAGCTGAGGGTATAAACCAGACTAGCCTCAAATTTGTTTTCTTTGCTGTTTTGGTTTTGTTTTTCAAGACAGGGTTTCTATGTGTAAAAACCCTGCCTGAGCCAGGCGTAGGTGGCCCACACCTTTAATCCCAGCACTCAGGAGGCAGAGGCAAGCAGATCTCTGGGAGTTTGAGGCCATCCTGGTCTACAGAGCGAGTTTTAGGACAGGCTCCAAAGCAATACAGAGAAACCCTGTCTCGAAAAACAAAAACAAACAAACAAACAAAAACAACAGCAGCAACAACAAAAACCCTGCCTGTCCTAGAACTCACTCTGAAGGCCAGGCTGGCCTTGAACTCACAGAGATCCACCTGCCTCTGCCTCCTGAGTGCTGGGATTAAAGTCATGCACCATCATTGAACATTTTTCTCAAATATCTGTTTTTGTTTTTAAGTTTAACATAATGGGCAAGCACTCTACCACTATAGCATAATTAATCCCAGTCCCCATGCTTTGTTTTATTTTCCCCAAGACTTTCATAATTTTTGTTCTCAATCTGGCCTTTGATTAATTTCAATTTTTATGCATGCTATAAGAAAAACAGTATTTTTTCCAATTTTTTTTTCAGTGTACAAGATTTCATCTTATTTTCACATTGCGTATAACCATAGCTTGCTCATCTCCCCACCGCATATTATTACCCTGGCCTGTCACCCTCTTAAAATGTCTCTGACTGCAGTCTACAGCAAAAGTTGCTTTTGTTGAGCCAGCTCAGTACACTCAACCTTTAACGTAACCATTTTGGCTACCTGCCCTTTGGCTCTGCTCTGGGTTCACGCACCCTCGAGATACACGGCTCCTCTCTTGGCTTACTTGCCCCTTCTAAAGGAACTCTAGCCACGCTGAGCATGGAAACATGGCTCTGGCAGACCTTGCCCTTCTCTCCCATTGCCTCTGCCTGGCTAAAAACCATTAGATTACATTCCTAAAGCTAGCCCCCAAGGTCTGTTTCCTTATATGGCCAATTCCTCCTCCTGAGGCTGCCAAAGTATTGAAACCCAGCAACCAAAAGTCCCCTTTGGCTCACCTAATTAACCTGCCCAATCAAAATCAAACACCTCATCCCAACATGGGGTTTCCCATTTTACCTTTGCAAACTGCCATCTTGTATGTGAGCCATGCCTGTCTCCTCTCTATTCAGAGGCCAGCTCTTTGTGCCCCTTTCTCCTCTCCCTTTTTCCCTTCCCCTTCCCCGTCTCCTGCCTGTTGTCCCACTCTGGGGCAAATACATCTCCTTCGTGCTGAGAACTTGGTTTTGGGGTGTCTTGTGCTAAATACCAGTCCCTTCACCTCCTCTCTCTTCCTTTCCTCTCTTGGCCCCCACCTTGTGTTAATGTCCTGGCTTCTCCTTCTCCCAAGGTTCCCGCCCCCACCAACTCTCCTTCCGCCTGCCTGTCACTCCGCCTGTCACTCCGTGCCAGCCCTCTCCTGGGCCTGAGCCTTCTCCTTAGGGAGCCTTTCCTGGTCACGGGGACCTCGCTAAACCTCAGGCTCTCTCCCAGCCCTGGGATCGCTCTTCTCTGGGTGACCTTCCCTTACCCCGGGATCCACCTTTGACGGATGATCGCTCCTCACTAACAGATCAAAGGCTGTCAAAGGTTGCATGGCTGCATGGTGCATGCGTTAGGTGGCTGCATAAGGACTCCGCATGCAGAGACCATGTGGGATTGGGGCCTAGCAGAGCAGGGCCAACAGCAGCCCCGTGACTCCAGCTTCAAAGGCCCCAACTGCTGAGACTCGTTCTAGACCGCTCCCGTCCCCTACACGAGCAAGTGCCTCCTGTCTGATGTCTGTCTGTCTTTGCATTTCTGCTCCCAGCTGGTTAACACCTTTCCCATTACACTCCAGATGGGTTTGTTGAGTGAGTTTGGTGGGTTGTGTTTCATCGCCCGAAGCTGCAGCGAAGAACAACGGCGTGCTCGGTCTGGAGCTTCCAAGCACCTTCTGCTCTTCTCCTATCTACAACAAAACCTTCTTCTCCTACCACACCTGGGAGCGACCACGCCCTCGTTCCCAGCACCCTGCTCCCCTGAAATGCGCATGCAAGCCAAGTTCAAATTCCAGTTGTCGTCCTTGCAAAGCACGTCCAGAGGCCTCGTGAGCCTTCGGAGTCGTTCAGCCCGGGCCTGAGGGCTTTCTAACACATAGCAAACACGGGTCGCAGCACAAAATGGCGCCGCGCAGACAACCACACACAGATCTCATTTCGGGCGCCCGGGCGCCCGCCCGCTCCTCCACGGCGCTGCCAGCGAGGCGAGGCGGCCAGCCGGCTCCGAGAAGAAACTGAGGAGTCCGATTGGCCAGGGCCGAGGTCCGTCACGGCAAACTCGCTTCCCATTCGTAGCTTCCCGGTCCGGCCCGCCCCCCCCCCCAGGATCACGAGAGGCCCTGCCGATTGGTCAGCGGGCCCTTCCGTCACTTGGTTTAAACCCCCCCTAAGTCCCGCCTTCCCTCGCCCCGCCCCGCCCGCTGGGTCGACCGTTAGTCGCGTGCGCGACTTCCTCCAGGCCGGGGGGCGCGCGCGCACGCACGCGCGCGCACGCAGGGCCTTGGCGGCGTCTGATTCAAACGGCCCAATCAGCGGCGGCGTCGCCTCCGGTGGCGGCCGCCCCGTCCCCCTCGGCTCTGGCTTCCCGGAGTCTTGGTTCTTCCACGTGTCCTCCTCAGCCGGCGCGAGCCCTCGCTGGACAGACAGACTGCGCCACGAGCCCGGCCGGGGCCTCCGCCCCCTCCGTTCTCAGGAGGAAGGAACGGAGCAGAGCGCGCCGCCCGCCAGTCAACGTGCGCGTTGACGTAGGCGTCCGGAGCGCGCCGCGGGGGCGGGGTGGGGGGCGTGGCCTGCGGGTGGCTATAAAAGCGCGGTGCTGCGCGCGCGGCCGGCTCAGTGCGGCCGGGCAAGCGCGACGTTGCGGTCTTTCCCGTAGCGGTCGTCCGAGTTAGCGGGGAGCGGAGCGGGGCCTCGGGGGGCCTCGCTAGGGCCACAGCGGCCGGCAGTTGGGCCCCCCGCCCCGGCCGGCGGTCCGAGGAGTGCAGGAAGGGGGCCGGGGGGACCCGCCCCCGGTCGGCCGAAGTCATGGTGAGCGGCGCGGGCGGGCGGGCGGCCCGAGGGGCGGTTGGGGACTTTGGCGGAGAAGGCGGCTGCGTCCCGTGTGCCCCTAGCCAGCTCCGGGGTGCTGCGGGGCGGGGCGGCCGGAGCCGGGAGTCGGCCCGCAGGCCTTCCACAGGCGCTGGCCGCAGGAATGCAGGCGGGCCTCGGAGCCCCGGGGACGGCTTGGGGCCCCTTGCGGGCCCGCCCCTGGATGCTGTCGTGAGCAAGACGTCCCGCCGCCGCCATTTCGCCCAGGGTTTGTTGTTTTTTCCTTTTTTTTTTTTTTTTTTTGGCGGCGGGAGGGTGGTGTTTCTAGCTAAGTAGGGAAAGGACGCAGGCAGGCTAGGCCTCAGGCCCACCTGGAAGTACTAGTGGACCCACGCGCGTCTTAACGAACGGTCCGTGGGAGGTTTTTTTGGTTTTTTTGTTTGTTTCTGAGTAAGTGGAGCGCTTTCTGAGACAGCCTCCCGTGCCTGTGGGCCGGGGCAGCGGCCGTAGGCCTCTTGGGTGAGGGTTTAGTTGGCCGACAGTGATTGACAGCCTGGGACCAGCGACTTTTTAATCCCAGATACTCCGGGCTGCTCACTCACCTTTTTCATCCTTGCCCAGAACTCCAACGTAGAGAATCTGCCTCCGCACATCATCCGCCTAGTCTACAAGGAGGTGACAACCCTGACGGCAGACCCACCTGATGGCATTAAAGTCTTCCCGAATGAGGAGGATCTCACGGACCTGCAGGTCACCATCGAGGGCCCAGGTGGGTGTGGGCATGGGCGCGAAAGGGAGTGGCCACTTTTCTTTTCTGTCCGTGACTGGAACAAACAGGATTCATTCGAGGCAATCTCCGGTGCTGGTGACAAAAAGTGTGGGTAGGTCAGGCAGAGCGCTGTGCCCCTGAGTATCTGGGACACCACAAATAAAAATTAAATACATTGAAGTTCCTGGGCAGTGAGCCTGTAATAGAGCTTTTTCCCATGCTTGGGCTAAGGCCATGAAGTGTTGACTTTCCAGGGACCAGAGGATGCATAGGAATTAAAAGAAATAGAAAGTGCATCGGGTAATTCAGATGATCTGAAACAACTACTAAAGTGTCAAGTGTCTGTACTCTGGAGCAGTGCAGTGCAAACAAGACTCAGCAGTGTGGGGGGAACGTATGTAATGAGCTGCATGTGTCAAGTAAAGAAAAATTTAAAGATCTCATCTGAATTTCTACAAAGTCAGGGTGTTTCAAGTCAGGTCTATAGTGCTGGGGGTGTGGAGGGCATGTTCCTGAGCTGCTGTTTCGTAAGTGGGTAGATAGTATATATGATTACCATTTTCCACCTAAGCAAGTAGGTAAATGAACATGTCTCATGCGGATCTGGAAAGGCCTGGGAAATGGTTTGCAAGGGAAGTTGGCATATCCAGGAGTATGATATATAGTCAAGGTATAAAGAGATGTTGCCTATAGTGCCTGGAAACTGTTCTTTGTTGCCCTAAATTTCCTCAGCCAGATCCAAGGATACTGTGATGTTGAAGGATGCTGGGGATATCCTAACCTAGTTCCCTTCCTCTGTTCCAGAGGGGACCCCCTATGCTGGAGGTCTGTTCCGTATGAAGCTCCTCCTAGGCAAGGACTTCCCTGCCTCCCCACCCAAGGGCTACTTCCTGACTAAGATCTTCCACCCCAATGTGGGTGCCAATGGTGAGATCTGTGTCAATGTGCTCAAAAGGGACTGGACGGCCGAGCTGGGCATCCGACATGTGCTGCTGGTGAGTTTCAGCCACAGTGCTTTGTTGAGATTTTAAAAATGAACTGTGGAGTAGTAGGGGACAGAGTCAAATAAAAATCAAGTTTCTGGCCTTTTCTGAATATAGTAAAAGGGTTGCTCTGTGGCACCAAGTACTGTCATGCAGTGTTGGGGAAGGCACCACACCTCATCAACCACTGGGTTTGTATGACAAGTTAGTTTCATGAAAGATAGTGTGTGGTTTATAAAGGCTTATTTTTATTTATGTACCATACATTTCACCAATAACCCAAGCTACCCTTGAACTTGTGATCCTCCAGCCATGGTTACAAGCATGTGGGTAAATGAGAAACTATAAGCCCAGAAGAAGCTGGGCTTATTCTCCCTACTCAACTCTTAGTAGAGTGTGTTTTGTTATGGTGTGGGTTGGGGAGGGGTTCCCGGGGGTTTTAACAGTGCTGGTGGAACCATTACCGCTGTCTAATTCAGAATTGTTTTCCTGTAGTAGTGGGGGTTTTTTGTTTTATTTTTTTAAGCTGGGGTTGATTGCATTGCCTGGGACATTTTGTGATGACAGGTGATAGCTTGGTTGTCTGTACTGCTGCTGGCATATTGTGGGTAGAGGCAGGGGATACTAAGCATCTGCTATGTCTAGGACTGTACCTCAGTTCTCAACAGTTGAGGTGGAGATACCTGGTCTGGGCCAGTGCTCCGAACCTCTCTAACAGCCACTTAAAGTAGTTAGTTCATCTGGTGCCTCCTCTGCCCCTCCCATAATAGAGTTAAATTCTTTTTTAATTTGTAATGAGTCTCTAGGGTGGATAGTAGTGAAGATTTGAGAATTGGGGTTTCTTTTAGGGCATCTGGAAAGGATTAAGTTACAAGGTAAACAACCTCAAAACCTTTCCTGTTTTGCTTTCCTCTCTGGATGTCAGTTGAGCTTGGTCAATCTCAGTACTGGAAATATTAGCTAGCTTTGGGTCTGCTTTTAAGCCTATTAGAAGCTGTATAAAGGATAACCAGGCCTCCAGATTGGAGGTATAGTGTTAAAATGTGAGGGCATCCCTAACTCAGGACTAACTGACTTATGGAGCCTTCTGAGCTAACATTTAGAGTGAACTGGATTAAATAGATACAAAATTCTTAAGGCCTGTGGTCAATCTAGTATTTTCCCCTCTGGGTGTAATCTATTCCTGTGGCTCTGAACTTGGCAACTGTGCCTTCCTGATAAAACCAATGACCACTTCAGGTTTCTGCACCCTACAAAGTATGGAAGACACAGCAAAACCAGATATAAGTTCTCCCATTATCACCTCTGAAGTCATGCTCGCCTGTAGAGGCAAGGTCAAAGCTACAAAAAATGGCTGGGGCTGATAATTGGCTTCCTGAGGGAAGGGCCTCTGGCAACATCAGGCTGTATTTGCCAAGGCAGTGGTTCCTTGAAATGTTTGTAATAACGGGAAAGCATCCTTTGATGGTGACATGCATGAGTGGGGATGCTAATAGGCTGGTTCTGGTCTTCAGAGAGATGGTTTGGGATTGAAGGGAAGAGCTAGTGTGGAGACCATGAATCTGGACAATTCCCCTGACACTGGGCCTTTCCCCCACAGACCATCAAGTGCCTGCTGATCCACCCTAACCCAGAGTCTGCGCTCAATGAGGAGGCGGGCCGCCTGCTTTTGGAGAACTATGAAGAGTATGCTGCCCGGGCCCGTCTGCTCACAGAGATCCACGGGGGTGCGAGTGGCACTAGCAGCGGGAGGGCTGAGGCCGCCCGGGACCTGGGAGGTGGGGCTGCAGCCTCCTCCACTGACCCTATGACTCCAGGAGGCCTGGGAGGAGCTGAGGGCCCCATGGCCAAGAAACATGCAGGCGAGCGAGATAAGAAGCTGGCAGCCAAGAAGAAGCTGGACAAGAAGCGGGCACTGAGGCGACTGTAATGGGCTCTTCTTCCTTCCTTCTGTTCCCTCCCACTCTGTCTCTAAGTTATTTAAATTATGGCTGGGGTGGGGGAGGGGAGGGGGGGCACCAGAACCTGGATTTGGTTTTCTAAATAAAAGTTGGAAAAGCAATTTCTGTGCCTGAAGGTGTCTAGAACCTCTTGCCATATTGTGGCTTAAAGAAGCTGGTGTTCTTGTTCTGCCCCAATCCTTGAAAGCCACCAAAGCTGTAGCCCTGAATTAGGGTTGGAGTCAACTTTACCCAGTGGAGTGGGATTTAGAATCTAAACTGGAGCAGGAACCCCACTTGAATGGTCCTGTTGATTTTTTTTTGTAGTAGTACCCCTTAGGTAGGGTGACCGTCCTGAATCATATCTGTTCCCTCTACAGCTGTGTCCCTTGCCCAGCTGTTAAGATATTAGTTGCTGCTTCATAACTAATTTAACTTTTAAATCATAATGTAAATAAATTGGAAGATAACTGAGTTACGAACCACAGCTTGAGAACCACTGATGTAGTCTGGATTGGGGCGAAGTTACATTACATTGCATCTCTGGACTTAATCCTTTTTTCCCCCCTGTTTCTGTGTATTAATCTGTATGGTGTGTATTGTGCTTAACTGTCAAAAACAGAACGAGCCTTCAAAGACATGTTCAAGTTTACTCTCCTTAGGGTTTCAGAAGCCAAAATGAAGTGTCTCAGGAACTTAGCCAGTTGCTCTCCCACCACATAGCCTATCAAGGACTAAGGACTCTGATTAGATGAAAATGCCAGATAGTGGGGCTGAGGAGATGGCTCAGTTGTGATTGTTGCTCTTGCAGAGGACCAGAGTCCAGCTCCTATATGACTGTACAACTGTAACTTAAGTTCCTGGAACGCACTGGACACGCATGTGGTTCACGGAGCATATAGTCAGGCAAAACATAAAAACATCAAATCTTTAAAAAAGAAAAACCAGTGAAATCTAGTTCAGGGCTACTGACAAGAGGGATACCTGTCCAGGAGTTTTGGGTTCTGTTGTAACCCAAGCAGAAGTGATTCTGTGTGTGTACACCAGAGGGCGGTCTATGCTTTCTGTTGATGTACTTTTACACTATTTGAACCAGTTTCATTAAAGGGAGGGAAAAGCCTGATGTGATAGCTGAAATGTTTAGACTGTGGTGCTCTTCCAGAAGAGTTGAGTTCCTAGAACACATCTGCCCAAAACTCCAGCCCCAGAGAGAAGACTTGACATTAAGAGCTTCAAAGATAAGAGGGGGAAGGGGCCTGGAGAGAGAGATCAGCGTCCGCCTTCTGAAAGGAAGCATTCAATTTGATGAAAAACAACTGTTAAAGCTGGGCAGTGGTGGATCACACCTTTAATCCCAGCACTTGGGAGGCAGAGGCAGGTGGATCTCTTGAGTTCAAGACCAGCCTGATCTACAAAAGCGAGTTCCGGGACAACCTCTAAAACCACAGAAAAACCCTGTCTGAAAAAAAAAAAAAAAAAAAAACTGTTGCTGGATAAAAAATCTCTCTCCTAAACCCCATTGGGATTTCAAGCATTCATTTTGAGACTATAGGTCTTTATATCACTAGCCCTAGTTGGTATCCAACTGTAAGTTTGGTATTCATAGCTATTGGGATTATATGCATGTGCCTCTATGCGTTTCTTGAGCCGTTTGTTTTTTTGGCAAGGTCTCACTGCAATCCTGGCTGGCCTGGAACTTGCTGTGCAGACCAAGATAGCCTCAAATTCAGAAATCCACTTGCCTTTGCCCAGCCAGTTGTGTTTTATATATAATAAAGCCAGTAATAAATTTCTTTACTAGTTCTGTGAGCTAGGACAACCAATCACTGAACATCAGGAATGTTATATGAAGTCTGATGGTCTTGTGGAATTCAGCCCTTAACCTGAGGCCTGCCTGTGCTAGCTCTGGGTGGTATTAGAATTAAATTATTAGCTACCAACTGATATGGCAAGTCCGAGAATTGGTTATTTAGTAAAGGGGAAATTAATATGATAGGTGTTCAAATGTTGGTAAATTTTAAAAAATATACATGGGTGTAGCATAGTGGTAGAATGCCTACCTAACTGCTGTTCCCTGGAAAAGAGGCCTCCAAGCTACTTAGGCAACGTGGCCAACAGTCCTATTAAACTTTTTTAAATGATCTAGTATTGATCATACTTTTTTTTTTTTTAACTTAAAAAGACTTTGTTTTTGTTGTTGTTTTAATGGGTGTTTGGTGTGTGTCTGCTGCCAGAAGATTCCAGTGCAGGGTGTTGGATCCCCTGGGATCCAACTGGAGTTAACATTTGTGAACTGTCATCTCATGCTCAGAACTTAACCCAGGTCCTCTGGAAGGGCACTGGGGCATCTCTCCAGCCCCATATTTATTTATTTTTCTTCTATGTATGTAAATGTTGTGCCTGCATTTGTTTGTACAACAGATGTGTTTATCATGTTTAAAGAGGTCAGATGAAGCTATCGTCCCCTAGGACTGGAGTAACACACTCTACACACATATAATACTTTGTAAAAATTAAAAGGCTTGCTGGGTGGTGATGGCGCACGCCTTTACTCCCAGCACTTGGGAGACAGAGGCAGGCAGATCTCTTGTTCGAGGCCAGCATTGCCTACAGATCAGGTTACTGGACAGCCATGGCTATACAGAGAAACCCTGTCTGAAAAAACAAAAATTAAAAGACTCAACAGGTGTAATGGCTTATACCTTTAATCTCAACACTCAGGAAGCAGAAGCAAGAAGATCTCTGTAAATCCAGGGCCAGCCTTGTCTGTATAATAAGTTCAAGGACACTAAGAGCTACATAAAAAAAAAAAAAAAAAACCTTGTCTCAAAAAATAAAAGTCTGGGCCTAGTGGACCAGCCAGGCTTGTGATCCCAGCTACTCTAGTGGCTAGGAGAGAAATATGCTCAAGTCTAGTGCTGTCCTGGCCTACAGACCAAGTTCAAAAACATCCTGGGCAACCTAGCATAACCATGTCTCAAAAAGTAAAGCCAAACCAGGTAGTGGTGGTACACTCCTTCCCAACATTCGGGAGGCAGAGGCAGGCAGATAGCAGTGAGTTTGGGGTCAATCGATAGAGTTCCAGGACATCTGTCCTCAAAAAAATCAAAAACACATAAAACCGAGGGAAAAAGCAGATGTAGGGAGGGACATCCGATTTAAATCCCAGTGGCAGGGAAGCATAAGCAAGATAAAGGACCAAGACTGACCTGAGCATAGTGGTCCCAGTACTAAGGAGACAGACAGGATGAATGCTGTGAGTTCCAAGCTAGTAGGCTGTCTTTAAAAAAAACCCAACAAACCAAACCAACCAAAGGAAAGAAATCGAAGAGTATTCCAATAATCACAATGGGCTCTATCTATAAACAGTACCATGAGTTAAGGGGGAGCAGCTTCCTTGTGTTTTTTGTGGATTATTTTTTATTTATAATATCATTTATATTATATATGTGTGTCTACATGTATGTCTGTGCATTATGTGCATACTTAGTGCCTGCAGAGATGAAATTGCATTGGATACCCTGGAACTGGAGCTAGAGATGGTGGTGAGCTGCCGTGTGAGTGCTGGGAATTGAACCTGGATCCTCTGGAAGAACAGCCAGTGCTCTTAAATGTTCTGTCAGGTTCCCTTGTGACTTTTATGACTTAGTTATATATGCTTTGAAAAATGACTGCATTTGCTAGGTGCCTTTAATCCCAGCATTTACGAGGCAGAGGCAAACAGATCTCTTAAGTTCGAGGATAGCCAGGGCTAAAGAAATCATGTCTTGAAAAGCAAAAAAAAAAAAAAAAAAAAAAAAAAACTATTTATTTATTTATTTATTTATTTATTTATTTATTTATCTGTGTATGTATAGGGAAGTTAGAGGGCAACTTACTGGAGTCAGTTTTCTCCATATAGTCAGCCAGGCTTGGCGACAAGCGCCTACACTATCTGGCCCTAGACATGTGTATTTGCTTACTTCTATCTTGAACCTCTGAGTGCTGGGGTCGCAGGCCTGTAGGACCACGCCCGACTTCATGCAGCACCGGGGCCTGTACCTAGGGCCTTCTGGTGAATGCTAAACAAGCTCTATCGCCTTTACACCTCCATTTCTTTACTCCACTTACTTTCATGGATTGAATCCAGGGCCTCGAGTATGCTAGGAAGTGCCTTGATCCAGTCTCACCGTGTAACCCTGCTGGCCTGGCATGCAGTATGTGGACCAGGCTGGCCTCAAACTCACAGAGATCTGCCTGCCTCTGCCTCAGCCTGTCTCTTTTTTTAAATTTATTTTTAAATGCAAAAATGTAGTCCTAGGAGAGGAACTGGAATGATGGTTCAGTGGTTAAAAGGACTTGGGTTCAATTTCCAGTACACACATGGTAGTTCATAAATCTGCTAACTCTGCTTCCAGGGAATATGAAGCCACCTTCTGATCTTCATGTACCAGGCACATACATGGTATACATGCATGCAGGCAAAACACTCATATACATGAAAGTAAATCTTTTGAAAATATTTTAGTGTGGAGAGATTGCACAGTGAATGCACTTGCCACACAAGGTTGAGGACCAGAGTTTCGATCCCCAGAATCTTCATAAATTTTCACAAGTATTCACAGGAGAACACACATATGTATGCATGTGTGACATTATACATGTGGAAACAGTTCTCTCCTACACAAGCTTTCCAGGGGTGGAACTCAGCTCCTCAGACTTAAAGGCAAGCCATCTTGCAAACCCAAACCTTTTAAGGTTTAAAGATTACTTTAATTCTGCATAATAATTCATTCTCTTCCTCTCTCTTGCACCTAGGTTCCTTAACTGGAGACTACCAATGTTACCAGCAATCTTGTGTATTTTGTAGGAAAAGTCTGTCTGAATGCAACAAATTTAAATATGTAGGGTTGGTGAAATTTCAGTGGGTAAAGGTAAATGCTCAAGTACAGCCATACTAACTTCTGGTGCATAGTTAGAAATATGTGTGCCTGGTTAAGTTCTCCATTAGATAGGATCTCACTAGGTAGCCTAGGGTAGCTTCTAACTGTCCTCTCGTCTCAGCCTCCTGAATTCTGACATCATAGGCATGTGCCACCATGCCTACCTAGGACATCATTTAATCCTCTTTAGGACAGTTTTG